CTTTTGTGATGCCGTGGTCACTGGAAACATCATAGGAATCAATGGCCGCTTCCAGATCCAACATAATTTCTGAGAAAAAAAGCAAACTTTAATTTGCAGTCAAATTTATTCTATGACATTGGTATGTGCTCAGAGTGAATAATACATCATTAAGAGTACTTACGCTTAACTTTGGCAATTGTAGTTATATCTAATTTCAAACCTGAAAATAAATACATAAATAAATTCAGCATCCCTCTGCAAGATGTTTGATGAAGGCTTATTTGTAGGACAAACAAATGTGTTCAGACCTGAGCTGAGTGACTCTACGTTAAAATCAGCAGTGACAGAGTCGTCATGACTGACTTTAGCCTGCTCCAACAGCAGCCGGTCCACTGCACTGATGGCCGAGGCTATGTCATAGGGAGTGAGGTCAAACGACGTTGACTCTTCACAGGTCTTCTCCTGCAGAAATCAGAATCATGACCATATTTGAATGAGTTACTTTTTCTATGTATTATAATCCAAACACAACACAAGAGTCATAAAGCTAAAAATCAATTTTGAAGGATAATAATGGAGCAGCTTATTTCGTTAATGATCTAACTCTTCAGATTGAATTTGACTTCAATGAAACAAACAATAATTCAACAGAGGTGTAAATTAAAAGCAAAGAAAATGCACGAGTTGTGAGTGTGAAAGTCTACCTTAAATGTATGTTAATGCAGGGAGAATAAGCGAATGAAACCATCCTGATCTCTTCATTTACAAAAGGCCACATCTGTTTGTTTGTTATATATGTATAGCGCATGGCTTAAATACAAATGGGTAACGTGAGAATTCGTGAAAGATACGTTTTCAACCATCTTACCACATTATGAGCTTCATCAAAAATAATCACAGCTCCATTCAGCTCAATGTTATGTGCTCTGCGACTCTGTGACACAAAGGGAGAAATCAGAATAACCACATTGTTGAGGTCAATTACATTTTGTAAACCTTCACAAATACAGCAAAAATATTTTTTTAAAATTATTATTATTTTTTAAATCTGACACATTTTTGATTCACATTGGTTGATCTGTTCCATCTGTGTTAAATTAACCTTCATGTCATGTATGTGACCTTTCCAAGTGTTTCTGACAATAAAGTACATTTTTGAGTGTTATTATTGAACCGTGTGTCATCAGATCCCAGGACATGGGTATTATTATCACCAGGTCTGAACTGAGCTTCAGTGAAAGCAGCTCACCTTTGGGTCCAGCAGGTAGTTGTATGGCATGAAAATAATATCTGCCTGCTGTTTCAGGGAACGTGAGAGGTAGTAAGGACAGACCCTGGAGATGAAGAACAGAAATTAAAGTTAGAAAGGAAATCCATCACAGCAAAGATTTGTTCAGCTCCTCCTGCTGCACAACTAGAAGATGATGAATGTGCACAGCAAGCTCCTATTAGGTCAATGATCATGAGGAGACTGGATCATTCACCCTCAAATTCACATTCATACTTATGGTAAATACAGAGTGAAAAATGAACCTGATTCTGCACATCTGTGACCCAGAGGACCAAGAGAAAAACAGACTAGAACATACAACACTCCACAGAAACACTGGCAATTGAACCAGTGTGTTTATAAATGTATAAACACAAATGATTCAATCTTACCTCTGTTTGTTTCCAAATTTAACCAAGTCTTCTACATCAAGGATGGAGTTCACCAAATCTCTATCAGTACTTTTCTCTGGGGAAGAAAACAAACAAGTCAGACAGAACGGAGCTTTAAATAATTAAATTAAGAAACAAATACGATCTCATCAACATGTTTCATTCATCTCTGTATTTATGGGTCAAATATTTAGTTGAACAACAGAAAAATCAATCAAGCGGTCATCAGTTTATGTAGCATTTTTTGTTATTGATCAGAAAGACTCATCTAGAAAATGTACTCGAGTTGCACTGTTTTACTTTTCTCTTCTTTAAACAAATATTCTGATTGATTAGATCAGATCAGATCTCTACATACAACCTCACCTTCAACATTGTTGTAGTAAATGCATGATCGGGTGGAAACCTTACTTCTGCACATATGCACCTAAGAAAATCCACAGACATAAATATATTATTAGAAGACAGGTTTATGTATCCACAAACTTCTGTTAGCTCTGTGCTCACCTTGACATGGTTACTCTCTTGGCGCATCACTTCCTGGTTGATGCACAGCTGCTCTCTGGATCCCAACACACACACTTTTGGACTGTATCATCAGAAATATATATTACATTATTACGGTAAATATCTGACACAGCTCTCAGCTCATATGAGATGCACATTATTCCAATAAAATATTATAATTTAAAAACTCAGAATGTTGCGATGCAAATGTACCTGTAAGATGTGTTCTTTAACTCACTGATAACCTGTGCGAGCTGAGAGTGTGTCCTGGAGGCATATATGATCTTGGGGACATCACTGTAGGAAGCTGAAAGACAAGAAGGAGAAACAATAATAGCATTGTTCCCATTAAGTTTAAGTAGACAGGGAAATACTTTAAAATATCAAGACATCTTTTTTTTAAAAACAGTCTGTTTAAAGAGCAAATAAGCTCTATGTTGTAAATTCTAAAAATGTGGTAGTAGGACAGAGATGAGATGATCTTTAATCTGCAGCCTCACTCGGGCACGGTGCTTCTGTCAATGTACCTACTTGGTGTCTGACCGTCGGGAGCAGTTGAGCCCCAGGACGCCAGGGGATTGTTTGTGAATGCCTCTCCACCCAGCCTCTCTGCTATCTTGTTGGCGGAGATTGTGTCTTTCAGGTGGTCCCTCCAGGCCAGTGTGGCACACAGCAGACACAGGGTTTTACCTGTGCCCGTGGGACTCTCCAGAACGGCATTCACTTTCTGAAACAAAAGCACAAACGTGTCTGCCGTTTACTTATTGCACTGTAGAGGCAGAGCTTCAGATGGGAAGGGACGACAGAACAGAGACTAGTTATTATTTTAGTGTGTGTTTGCTGATTTATAAAGACAATATTAATAAAATGTGTGTGTTTTGATACAATCTTAAAACAAACGTCACAGCAGGTCCATGACTGTCTTCGAACACTGTCCCTTCACCCTTCTTTGACACTGTATTCCATTCTCTTTTGTGCACTATGCATGTATTGTTTGGTTTGAACTGCACGTTCACCAACCATTTCTTGCATCCTGACCTTTTAGCCTGCCTCACTGTAGTAAGTCCCTTTTGATCAAAGTGTCTGCTAAATGTATTGTAATGCAATGTAATGTAATATTTGGTCTTTCTTGCCATTTTCCCTCATTTTTGTAGTGCAGACCTCCACCTCTTCAAGTTCTATCCTACATTCTACTTAAAGACAAATTAAAATATCATCTTTAAACATGTTTCATTTCACCTTGACCTCATTTGTTAAACTGTCCATTAATGGCAATGTTAGTTAAACTGTTGTTTAAATGTTAGTTAAAATATTGGTAAATTTAGGTTAGGGTATTTGCTGAGCTGGACGTGTACTGACTTCAAACGCAACATTTAAGCAAATATGTTGAAAATGCCACTAAATGATGATCCAGAGTGACTTTTCTACAATTGTCACAACTGTCAGTCATTGCAGAGCAGGTGGAAGCCTCGATATTTAGCAAGGTAAGGTTTCACTACTGCCCTCCTCTGGGACACCAAGCAGACTGGTGTTTTGCTAAGTGTAAGGGGTGTAGGCTCAATGTTTACTTACCCTCTGAAGACATTCTACCACTTTGGTCATGTAGACTTTCTGACAATCGTAAGGAGAAAAGGGAAATTTCACTGTCACTCCATTCAGATTCAGCTCTGACATCCCGAGCCTGTTATTGTAAACTAACAAAAGCAACAAACGCCGAGCGTCAAACGGCAAGGTGAAAAACAAGCGTCACAAAGCCGCCTGTAGTGCCTCCTTAAACTTAATGTTTGGGATATGTGCTCACATTTATTTACAGCAGTCTGGTACAGCAAACCTCAGATGGCCTGAATGTTTAACTTGGTTGGCGCCAATATCCGGGTTTAACGTATGCGCATGCGCAGTCTGACTGGACGTGTCTGTGCCATTCACGGAACATGGGAAAAGTAAAAACCAATGCGTCTGTGAGGCGGTTGCGGTGTTTGAGGGGAGGACGCTTTTAACAACTATAAAACTGGACAGTGTGTACTTTAATTAATTTACAATGCTGTTGTACAATGTTTTAAGACACGCACAGTTGAAAGAAAAATGTTTTCTTGCTTGAAAATGGACGGTTTAACGCTCTGGTCTATTAGTTTAATGTGAACATACAAGAACACCAGATGCTTTTTCTGTTCACAATTATTGTGAGAACAAATGTGAGTGAAAGTCATCTTAAGTTGTATTAGGCAACACATGGCATACATCCAAACACTTCAACGTTGCTACTTTTCTTCTTTGATATCTCTAAAACATTTAAGTAACAGTTTTTTAATTCACATTTTCCCAATAACTATGAAAATGTTTTGAATTTCCAGCCTCCCAATGGCCTGCCATGTATTTCACACCTATGTCTTCAGTGACTTCCTGCCTGAATAAATCTGCATCTTAATAACATCATTATGACTATAGAAACCATCAATATTTTGCAGAAATGTAGTATAACAAGTTGCTGTTACTGAAATATGATCGGATAAAAACTTGAGCATAAATAATAAACAACTGGAGGCGAAAAACAAGAGAAAAGCTATAAAATTATTATTGATTATTTAGTATAATTCAATACATTTTTGTGATACATATAGTGGAACATAAGCCACTGATTTTGATACTGTTTAGGCCAGCAGAGAAGACCTTGCTGGCCTTGACCACTGCTGCTTCCATGTAGTCAAATAAAAAGGTCATCATGGATTTGCTGTTCTTCTACTCTTTCAGTGACTCACTGTCCACACATAACAATTACAGAATTCAATAACTTTTTATTATAGAGGAAAATCATGTATACAGTAGGTGGGTGTGAGAGATGCTACTCTTCTTTTGGGGGAGGCAGGATAATTTTGCTTGGGTCGTAGTAGTTTTCATCCATGAGAGGTAGACCCGCCTTCTCTCTCTGCACTATCAGCCTCTCGGCCTCCCTCCTGGCCCACTCTCGCATTCTGGAAAGCAATACAACAAGTAAACAGCAATAACTATTAAAATATTAAGGGTTTAAAATAGCAGTAGCAGCAATAGCTATGAATAAATAAATATTAGCTGTGGAGTCTGATGAGAGCCATATATACCCATAGTCTGGTATATAAGCCACAAATGTTGAGCCCAAGACAAGTGCCATTGAAACCCCAAAGAAGAAAGCCAGCTTCATGTTTGATTTATCCACGTCAGGGTCACTGGAGAAGCCATAATAGTCTGGATTCTAAAAAAAAAAAAAGCAACAAATGTAATGGACAACGGACACTTGAAATATAAAAAATATTGTGGAATTAAGATTTTGTGAGGACTACTAACTCAACTGTACGTCACCAACAGTACATTCATGTAAAAAAAGTAGAGCTCACTATTAAAGCCTATGTGGTTTTGTAATTCTTTTGGACATATGCATATCGAATCTTAATTGTAACGGTAATTGTAAGTTGTTGTAAATTAGTACAGGAAAACAAATAAAACTAAAAAAAAAAAACAACAACCCCCGAAACCTGTTTCGAAATCTGCACAGAATAGGCTCAAAATAAATAAATAATAATACATTAAAAAAAAAACAATAAAAAAACAAAGCAGTGAGAGGTGTCAAACATTATGAGGAAAGTTTCTCCTCTAAAAAAAATTTAAACGTCTATTCTATGCTTCATTTAGATACAATGTTTTATCTCCCAGCATTATTAAATAGATATAAATATAATTTCCAAATATGTTATAAAATCACTTAGGTCTTTATAGAGCTAGATGTAAACAAAGTTTAATCCAATGAAAAATCAACAGTATGCTGTGTCTACGCCGTATTGACGTGTATAATGCACTCTCGATATATATAAAAATCTGTGGTCAAACATAAATTAACAGCATTTTGTGTTACAAATTCGCTATCACAGGGGCTTTCTGCAGGGCTGAGGGGCTGAATATGTTGTCAATTAGCCGGCCAGCTAATATGGAAGGAACTCACCTTGGTGTATTCGCTGACCTCCTCATGTCCGGTCATTGGCTGGCCGGGGCGCAGCTCCGTCATAGCAGTCGAACCTACATTTTCATTTGGTTTAGACTGAGAGACGAACCGTGCTGGTGGACCAACTAAAGTACGAGGCAGCGAGAGCCCGAACCTTGACAATCGGGTCAACATGTTAGCTGTTCAGCGAAAATACTGTTGACCCGGAACCGGAAACAAGACATCATACGTTTTTGCTTGTTTGGTTTCTTTGAAGGAAGAATGTTTCATTTTCGCCATCGTCAGGTGTAAAGGTGGTAATACAAGATCAGACAGCAACTGAGAAGTGTTTTTAATAAATGTATTCATATTATATAAAATACAAAAAATATAAAAATAAAGCGATTCGGGTGACAATAAGAAATTGAGTTTTAGATAGGAAAAAACCTGGAGATATTGCACAATTAAAAGTAATCTTGATTATTACTACACTTGGTATTAAATCATTTAAAGGACAATTTAACTAAATTTTAGAAAATATATGTCGATTTTAGCTTATTTGGCTATCTTGTTAACCATTTATTTTTGGACTTCAGAGTGTTTTCTGACATATTTCAAAGCCAATTTTTATTAATTATTATTAAGTGATTTCTTATACAATATTGCTATGTACTCACTGATATTGTTCTGCACCTAACTTCCCTATTATCTTCCATCTGGGTCTACTGTCTAGTTAACCTTAATCGTTTGTTATAGTTGTGGCTGGCATTTAGCACATTAAAAACGTTTCTGGTAAAACCTATGGCTATATTTCTGGCAAATGTTTAATGGTAATGTCTTTTATGCTGTATATTTGTGATGCCATTAAAACACAACTCCACAGTCAGTTGCAATGAATATTTATTTGTGTCCCATGTACAATGAGTCACACTTTTGTTTGTTGTATGTTTAAAAAGAAATTCTTTGTGCAGGTACATGATTCAATAAGATAAACAAATGATTTTATTTTTCTTGCAAACACATCTGCACCTGTAGTCCAGCTAGTCCGCTTACCTATGTTCATTAGGAATATGCTATTAAATACTGGCTTACAAAAGGAGGCCATAGCAAGTATACTGTAAGAGAAATCGCTACAATAATCACATTGATCGTTTATAGACATGGGATTAATCTGAACTTTTGATCAAAGAAGGCTTTAGTGGAGCCATTACACATTTAGACAAATGCCTCTAAAGGAGTTGGTGTCTGAACCAAAAAAATTGTACCAACTTCAGCACACCTCCTACTTGGCCTTCACAATGCAAGGCTTCTGTGAAACTATAAAAAAAACATTTGAAACATTGATCAAGTGAAGCAGCCTATGTCTAAGAAGTCACTTAACAAAAACCCTTCAGACTGGACATTACAAAAGAGTGAAATTAAGAAAAAGGTAAGGAATTTCTAATTCATCAGGATGCTGACAAAACCTTGTAATTTTGGCCTTAACATTTCACAATTGGAGTATCTCGAAAAAAGGAAAGAAAACCAAAAACATTATTAATTATAAATTAGTAATTACAAAAAAAGCAAAAAAAAAGATGCAAACATCTTTGTGAAGCTGCAACACATATTTTATATAAAACGTTTTATATTTGTGTAACCTGATTAAATTTGATTTTATTGTTGATCCAAAATTAGCTTTTGAAAACCCTTTTTGTTCTACAGTGAACAAACACAAATGGTAACCTTTAATAACAATAATAAAGTCTGAGACTTAGCTCAACCTGATTTAAAGCATGATGAGTGAGGGTGGGAGTGAGAAAAGAAAAATCAAGGCTAATACAGTAAATCAAACACATGAGGCACTCTTTCGCCAAAAAATTTGAACATAAAGCAAAAAAACCTACTTTGTCCAGTTGCCCTCGATGTAACTATTTTTGGATTAAATGACCTGGATGACTGAGAACCTAGACAGATAACGCAGGGTTGTTTCATTATGATATGCTCTACAAGTGTAGTTAACCATGTCTAATATGACCTCCTCAGGGTGTAATATGAAGACCAATTTCCAGAACAGGACATTTTTGTCAGGTGATTATATATTACCACAATTATTAAAAGTATTAAATCCATATCAAATACTCTATACAGGCCCTTTAAAATTCTTTTGTATGCAGCAGTTTCCTCATATTCTTAAAATGTTAAGGCAAAAGAACTAAAATTAAAAACCAAGTCTTTGGGAAACAGCAAAAACTAAAAAAAAACAAAAAACAACCTAAACCTAAAGTACCTCCAGAACCACGGCTGTGGTGCAACAGCACAAACACTGTATCAACAGAAGGGCATTAAGATCAACATCACACTGTTCTCCCCTCTACAGAATCATTGTGCAAAATGTTTACCAAGTCCACATGACAAAGGTGATGCCAGCTAGGACCCACTGTTTTGTTTTGTTGCTGCTACAGGGGTCTCAATGGCTCAGAGTCAAGACGGTAACTGTGTGATGTCATTGTGTCTGCCCAATGGCAACAACTGGTATTATGTTGTGAAGAGAAGGAGAAAACATTCTCCTCACAGGTGCTTGGCCTCTGACCTACGTCTATTGCATCAGTTTTTTCTCTAAAAACGGACTTTTCTGCTTTTTCAAGTCGGTGGCCTAAAAAAACAGAATTAGGATTAACTTTGATCTATTTAGAAAAAAATCTGACATTAAAGGCTGACTTCACGTGTCTGGTCTGATGTTTGATGAACTGCAGTTGGTTCCTCACCCTCAAATACATACACCATAATAACTGCATAAACATTATTTGAATCAAGTGACGCCCTGCTTTCATTCATGGTCTCTGATGCTCTACACACCCTTAGTTGTCATCAATACATTTTCATTCAATAAATGGGTCACAGTCCAAAAATCGCCTGGATTGTCCTTTTCCCATCATGCATTTCACTGACAACCCTTTGGTGGACTTGTACATGCCCATGCATTTTAAACCCTGCGACCCTCGTTGGTGATGACATCACACTGACATCACCAGATAAATAGAACCTGACACGGGATTACACCTACGTCAAGAGATATTCAAGAAATTCAAGTTCCAACAACGTAAGGTTCACACTGTCAGCTGACAACAACATTTGTAAGTTTTAACCCTGGAACTGTTGTGACTGTCCAACACTGCAAATGTTGAATTAACGTTTACAGAAAACAGGAGGAATAAAGCTCTGTCAATCTCTATTCTAAGGCCAGAAAACAGTTCTGACTGCTGTAAAGGTTCATGAGAAAACAAGAGATTACACAGTCTTGATAACGCACATGGGGAATACCAATATATATTCAAGCATACACAGAATAAGAAGATTATAAACAGCCCAATTTAAATTGGAAGGCTGGTTTAAAAGATGGACTCGGCCATCAGACAGGCTGTAGTCAGTTTTCTGTCGAGGAAAAAAGATGAATTCAGGAAGTGGAGGTCAGAGAAACTTGGGCTGTTGGGGAGGGAATGGTGGTTGCGAGGTTGTAGGTTGAGTTTGGAGATGAATGAGGTGACGCTAGCGGGCTGTAAATGGGCCTGGCCGGGATGTGTGCAGACGGGGAGTGTTGTACTGTGGTCGGGGAGTCGGAGCTCACCTCGTCCCCTTCCTCAGAGTCCCACACTTCACTCTGCAAGTAGTCTGCAAATAAGGCCTTGGCCCGCTGCAGCACGCGGCTGAGGTTGTGGCGTCGCACCAGGCGATCAAAGTGCATGGCTATTTCGTTGTAATCCAGGCTGTTTTTGATGATGTGGTCACGGTGCTCCAGCAGGATGGACAGGCACAGGAACAGCATGAAGGGGTTTCCCTTTCCGAACTCCTGAGGAGGTGGCAGAGAGCACGATTTGATGGTGGTGGAGTCCGCCTTCACAGAACTGGGAGTCACAGCTGTGGTGTTGGGGGACTGTCTGCCCCCAGGTAAAGAGGGGCCCCTTCCAAAGGACAAGATTGGTGAAGAGAGCAGGGAACGATTCTGAATGTGGGTCGGAGAGACAGCAGATGTTTTTACAGTGGACGTTGTTGGAGAGCTGATCCCGGTGCTGCTGAGAAGTTGGGCAGAAGAAGTCAACACCTTCTGCACAGTGGCTGTCAAGGCCTCTCGTCCACTCATTGTGGATTGAGAGTTCGATTTTGGAGGCGAGTCTGGGGAAACTTCTGGCCAGCTGGATGGTGAAGCTGAGGATGTAGGAGACACAGAGGAAGCAGGTTCCCATATTGGTAGAGCACTGGGAGGTGGGGGAGGAGGAGGTGTGGAGGACAATCCATTTTCACAGTTTTTTATGAGAGGTGTTTTCTCTCCTGGGTCCTCCTCACTCTCAACAGTGGACTGTCGTCTTGGGATGTCAGGCACTGACTTGGATGCCACTAAACCCTGCGGCTGCTCATCTTCCATGTCAAAACTGTCATTGTTTTTTGCCGTGTAGTATTTAAACTCTCCAAAACTAATTTTTCTCTCAAAATGAGATGCTTTCTCCACACTGACTGGACTGACAGCACATTCACAGCCCTCTCTTCCTTTTACAGCATCTAGATTTTTCCTGTTTCTATCTTCCACTACAGCATTTCTGACCATATCTGGTTCCTCTCTCGATGGTCTGAGCATGTGCCGCCTGCGTTGCTTTTCTTTTTGCTCCTTGTCTTCTTCACCCAAGTTCTCAGCTGCTTTGTTTTCAGCTGGACTTGCTTTGTTTTCGCTGGTCTCGAGCGGTAGCCCGGTCAGTTCTACTTCGGTTTCCGGAGGATCAGGAGGCAAGGAGCTCCAGGTAACTTCCAGCATTCTTAACGCATCTTCAAATGCAAATTCCCGCTTAAGCTCCAATAGGAGCCAGCGGTAGCAGAAGAAGAGGTCGTCAGCGCCACGGGACACCAGGTACAGGTAGAACTCTGGGTCGGAGTACTGTAGGAGTAGCTTCAGATGCTGGAACTTGATAGACATGAGTTGACCGTCTGGTCGGAAGTTTCCCTCCAAACGCTTCATGATGCCACAGAAGCAGATAAAGGCATGCGCCTCGTTGTCCATAACAGCCAGAATCGGGGAGGCGATATCACTCATGCCCTGACAGTAGGAAATCTGAAAAAAGAACCACATTTGACAGAAGAGGTGAATGCCTGATTAACCAGCCTTCACTGGTTATGATATACAGTACTAATGGCAGATGAACTAAAGTGAGTCTGTACACAAAGTTCCAAAATATTTTTAGCTTATCAAACAAAGGCTCTTAGCAACTTCCTACTTGTTTACGCAGTAAATACAGGGATGTTTCTTTACAACAGACTGGGCCAGAAATATTTATCTATAATCTCATCTTAACTACAGAGTAAAATAACTCATAACTAACATAAAAGTTATTTTATAGGTAAAGAGATCTGTGTAAAATTGTTGATTTTTCCTGCTTTGGAGCTTTGGAGGAAAGTTAGTCGTTTACACTGTAAAACAAATATTGGCTTCCAAACAGGAAACGGCAGTCCAATGGTTGTGCACCTCAGGGGCAAAACATCAAGGCACTCTTGTCACAGTGATGAATCCTGTCACTCCTGACACATTCTTTCACGTTCTTGGAGACTTTTTAAATTCCATCAGTAGTTTGTTTGTAATGTAATTTCCTCACATGGCTCAATAAAGTAATTCTGAGTGGTGAATGTCCTTTATTATGACAGTAAATGAGACACACCTAATGTCAACCTGGGCAGCACTGAACCTTGCTGTGAATGTTATCCCAATGTCAACACGTTTATCTCAAATACATTTACACACAGTCCTTACTGATTTACACAAACCTGTGGGTGTGTGATGGCGAATGTAGTGAGCAGATCCGTCAGTGCAGTCAAATGTGGACTGTCTTCTGAACCGGCGTAGTATGGATGAGCTCTGTCTGTCCTCAGGACGTCTTTGAGAACGTTTCCGCGGATGAATTCGAGATCCTCATCACTGACCCGTGCTGTCCATGCTCTCTTCAGCTGCTCATACTCCCTCGTCTTCCTTTTCATGTAGTCCATTCTTTCCTGTCCACTCAGTCCATCTGGGTAGACATTCAGTAGGTAGCGCCAAACAACCTGTAACAACCCATAAGAGACAGGTAAGAATCATCAAGAAAATACAAAGTGTATCAGCCATCAACTCACAACAATAACAACAGGGTAAGTTACACGATGCCATATTTCACACCTTGCGTAGTGAAGGCTCCACACCACCGTGGTAAATCCGCAGTCGAAGTTCCTCAGGACGTGTCAACTGCCCCTGGCCATTGAGGTAACTGTGAAACTCCGCGTCACTCAGTGGAGGTTTAAAAGGTTTGATCTCCTCCCCGTACGACCAACTGAAAGCTTGCTGGACTTTGGACAAGGTTCGCCCCATCTGAAACAAGTGGGAGAGATGCATTTTGAGCGTAGGGACCAAATGCTTGTTTTAGAGGTTGATTTCAAAATGGAGAACTAACCTGGGACAATAGAGACTGGGTGAAGGGAAGAGCTGCAGAGGCCAGAGACTTGGTTTTGTCTGCAAAAAGCTGCTCTGAGCCAATCACGTCTTTGGGACTGATGATGTCCCAGTCCTCCATAACAGGACCTGCAGAAGAAATAAATCGCAATAATTCATTTAAATATGGATTCCAGTGTTTACTGAAAGTCAAAAATTATTCTACAGAATATATTAAAAAAAACATAAAATCACTAATTTATATAAATTAGGGAATCTTCAAAATTTAATTTTCCCTTTAAAGGCCATACGCCTGTAATTTGACATGAGGACACACTGCTTAACTCACTGTCCTCTGAAGGCTTTACGTCCATCTTGAGCTGTAGATATGGTTTGGCAGCACTGACAAATGCTGCGTCCAAATCCCAGTCAGACGCCAGAGTCAGATACATTTCAGTACCACCTCTGTCTCGTGACAGATAACTGATACTAAAGTTACGCTTCCTGTTTCAATGAAAAGACAAAGAGAAACTCTGAGGAAGCTGTTCTTCAGGCCAAACTTTGACAGGGTTTGTGAAAAGAGGGTGATGATTAGTCTTACCCATTCAAGTCAAAGGCTCGAATCAGTATGTGCTGCAGCACCTCCAGGGATGTAATCTGAGGATCAACAGCAAAGGAGCGAAACTCCACGGGAAGAACGCTGTCGCATTTCTGAGTGTAAACACACCAAAAACAGACACCAACACCTTGTTTTGTATATTTGTTGTAATAATGCATGGCCCTTATCATTGACATGCACAGTATCATACTATAAAACACACTCTGTTCAAGCATGTCTGAGTGAAGACCTGGGCCTCTCACCCTGAGCAACACACTCCCCTGTTGCTGTGTGTTTAAGAGACATAAACGGAAATTCATTTTCTGACTCACATCTGTTTACACTCTGTCAGTGACAGATGACATTGAATAAGCCATTTTTGCAACAAATAAAGTAATTTGTATAGTCAAACACATTCTGCCTGAACACACCTTAATCTAAAAAAAAAACCCAAAGAGGGAAAATAGAGAAAAGCAATTACAGTCAGTTTATATTAACGTACGTACGTTGTAAAAACGTTTCCTGCTGGCGATTTTTACGACACACTCGGTGACTACATCCAAATTTGATGCCAAAATTCAACACCAAATGCATGTGCCCGTGGTGATGCTTCTGTTGCTATTAACCTCATAACGCCTCCAACTAACGTTTGACGTCATTACGTGCATCTCCCTGGTTAGACGCACGTATGAGCTGAACAGTGAGGTGACGTCACTTAGACAGCAAGGGCTTCATGGTTCTGGATCATGAAATTTTAAACAGCTATATTAACACTGTTTGTGACAAAAAAGAGCATCACGCACACGCGCGATTGTCAGAACTTTTGTTGACCGTGAATGTTACATTCGGTCCAAATCCTGCTAGAATAAAGCTGTCACAGGCACAGCTGACGGTAAACAAACAAACCCTTTTATACTGACAGTTAGTCGGGAACCCGCCAAAGACACCGATTTAAAGCCAGCTCCACTGTCATTGTTTCGACGTGTCATAATTAAGGTATCTGTGCGTCTGTTACACAAACAACAGAACTCTGTAAAGAGATACAACCACAGCTGATAGTCTGTCGGTGCTCGAACCGCATCGGTCCTACCTTGACTTTAACGCGGACCACCCCCCTCTCCTCCTCGCCTGCCATGTTAAAGGCTCCGTGTTGGATCGGGATGCTGGTTCTGACTTTTGTTTTCCTTTTACAAAGACATCGCGATGATATGATGATGGTCGGCAGCCCAGCTTCGCTTTCTCTGCTCTATCATTCTTCTTCTGGTCCTGGCAGAACACTGGTTGCGCTACCGCCATCTGCTGGATAAATAAATGTTTACACCACAGGATATCCTCGGTGGAATGACGTAACAAAGACAAATATGATTCCTAGTAATATTAACTTATAGAAAGAGCAGTGAAAAGTATCTCTGCGCGAACACTTAAACTCAAAGAATATTTGTAAATGACGCACTGCACATATTCTACTACTTGTGGAGTCTTAGTGAATCCAACAACAATGAAACATGGACAGTGCTGTCTTCAAAAGTTCAATTAAAAGTTTCAAATGTCTCAAGTACTTTTTCGACTATGTTTGTGTTGGTGTTTTCTCTTTTTTTTTCACTATGTTTGTGTTGGTGTTTTCTCTTTAAGAGGATTTCTTAGACACTGTTATATTAAAGTAAGACGCCTATAAATAAACAACAAAAATGTACAAGTGTTTGCCATTTAGTTGGAGCACTTATTAAAACGTTGAACAACATATGTAAAAGTAAATATCCACAAATGGTTTGACCTAGAAATTAAATTACAGACTCAATGTTGACCTCAAACATAAGCCATGGAAAAGCAAATATGGTACTTGCGGTGTATTTTTGCAGTATTCATTTGCAGTTTCCTTAAGTCTTAAGATGTGTGCATTGACAAGTTTTGAAAAGGAATAATGAAGTGGTTGAGCAAAATAGTTTAGAGATTGTCAGGCAATAGGCAAAGAGAAGATAAGATACAGGTGCAGTTGTAGAAGAGTCCATGGTTGGTGAGCTGGGTGCAGATGAGCCATCAGGGAGCCCTGAAGAAGAAATAAACCTAGGTCGACCCGATACACGACTTTTAATATGAATATACACCATGTGTCATTTCGCTTGTGTGTCTGGTCTCCAGGGGCTACCGTACAGAGTCACCCGGAAGTAAACTCTACTGTAAACTGGAAGTTCTTTCATTTTATCTGAAGAACGAGAATTGTCTGTGTGTTTTCCCATGGTGACTGTGTATGATCCTGGACTGCAGCCAGTAAACATTCATATTTTTGGCCTGGATACAATCGTACCTCATTTATATTCACCATAAAGACGTAAAGTATACCGACTGTGTTATCGACCAAAGCTGACCGTGTTTTACTGTGTTTGCCTCCTCGTCGTCTCCCCGTTTCCCATCGGCCTTCAGAACTTTGTTTGTGACCATCGCGTGGAATACTTAGAGGACACCAGGTACCGTAAATACGTTATTAATTGTAGCATTGTAAATGTCTCCTCTGTTCCTTTTAATGTCCCATTATATCCGAGTTACTGTAGTCGAGCTAACCAATTGCAGTGTAAACAAGACCGAAAGGAGATTTTGGACAATTATCTTAAAATTATGTGCATAATTGCGTTATCATTGCACATACAGAGCAAGTAAGTCATAATTGTACAGACCCGGACTAGTGGTCAAAACTGTCTGTCGTTTTATAGCATCCAGTCGTGAATTCCATGTTCCATGAATTCCATCTGTTTTCAATCTCCAGACAGCTAGCACTAGCTTGCTAGCTGTCTCCCGTCAGACGGCTAGCTGCTTACATGTTTCACTTCTCTCAGACGCAATAGCTGTTTGACATAAAGACGGTCTATGATGTCGAAATGTCCTATTTTTGTTTTTGAAAACCACCAATGCAAACAAAAATAAATACCAATTACCAATCTATTTTATTACTACATTATTAAAGATAGCCATCTAACCAGTTAGCCTTATAGTTCTCTTGATGCTGTCATCAGAATTACTGATTTATGATTCATATATTTCTTTTGCTTTTTTTCTGTACGTAGATATCAATTTATAATGGTGACGTGGTAATCACACATTAATTAGATCTTAGATCGTGTATGGAGAAAGTGCACTAATCCACAGTATCTCATGGTTATTTGTTCCAAGCATTGTCTTTATAAAATGTCCTACAATGCTGTCACAGTTTTTCAGTACTTTCATGACATTCTCACATTTGTTCCTCAAAAGCCTGCTGTCTTTAATATATTACTCAGTTTGTCCATTGTAATTTATTCCTCAGTGTTTTACTTTAAATGTTTTTTAAAAGAACATTCAGTGGATGCCTATATTTAGTAAGTACGTTATAGCATGTGTTTTAAATATGTTGCATACATTTCCTAATTTCTCCTCTGCTCAGATTGAGCAGTGAACGTTGGAAGGAGAAGCAGGGGTTGGAGGATCCCTCATCATCAGGCCTGAGATGACATCCCAACAACCTCAGCTCCCCAATGCTGTTACTCCTCCTCCACTTGCTCAGAACTCCCCTGCTCAGCAGGCACGATCTCATCTCCCAGCCAGCCAGCTGTCCTCGGGTCAGAACAGTGCAAATGCTGGACCTTTGGAACACAGAAGTCCAACAGTGAGGCCAGGCTCGAGCACGTCAATGGCCAGTGGGGAGATGGACAACAGAAAAGTTTCAGCCTCTGGCTCCAAACCCAGCATGTCCAGAGGGGACAGTGGTTTTGAACCATGGCCTGAGGAAGCTGTGGACAACTCTCATGGACTGTACTCTCTCCACCGTATGTTTGACATAGTTGGAGCTCAGCTTACACACAGAGATGTCAGAGTTTTGTCATTCCTCTTTGTGGATGTCATTGATGAGTATGAGCGAGGTGGCATCAGGAGTGGAAGGGATTTCCTTCTTGCTCTCGAGCGTCAGGGACGCTGTGATGAGACCAACTTCCGGCACATTCTTCAGCTTCTGAGGATTATCACTCGCCACGACCTTTTGCCTTACGTCACACTCAGGAAACGACAAGCTGGTTAGTGATGCAAAGTCAGAACTGTCTTAAAATTATAGTCTAGACCACTGGGAATTAAGCCCAGGGCTAACTCCCAGTAGTTATTGTACTGTGAAAATTTAATTTTTAACCTTTGAGTGTGAGTTTAATAATTAAAAAAGGTTCTTGTCCATTTAATCTTAACAGCACCATGTTTACACTTTTATGTAAAAGGCAAACTTTTGTGATAATATTTGTTGTCTTTACATGTTTTTTGTAGCCATATAAACATGTAAAGACAACAAACACGACGGTGTTCCTATATTCTAAGACTTGAATGAAGTACTGTATTTCAGGTATGTTAAGTAACGGGTTACATTTGGATCAATTGTTTTTTTCTCAGTGTGTCCTGATCCTGTTGACAAGTACCTGGAGGAGACGTCGGTGCGATACATTTCACCAAGAGGGACAGGGCAGAACAACAATACCAATAATCACAGAAGAACAGGTGTGTGTGTGTGTGTGTGCGCGCGCGCGCATTTCTTTCTATGTATGTATGGTATATGACATTTTTATATCTCTCAACGACACACTAAATGATGTCCTAAAACTGTCACAACTCAGGTCCTCAGCCAGTCATTTGCTGTTCTCCATCAGCTGCCAATGTTGGTCCTTCCCGGACAAAACCGTCTCCTCCTGCCCCGAACCGCAAACGAAAGAGAAGTCACTCTTCTGCTGACTGCAGAGAGAAGCAAACCTGTGGTAAGAAGAATGTTTTTACACGTGATGCTCTTAAAAAATACAGTCCATCACCACTTCATGTTGGTAAATCCAAAAGCCTTTGATAATTGCTGCTGTTTAATGTTCTTAAATATGACCAAAACCTTATTTTTCTGTCTATTGCATAAAGACATATTACAGCGGAGAGATGTAGGTGAATGAACAGTGGAATTATTGAATATCCTTTTTTTTTGGTGCTAAACAATTAAAGATAGTTTGGTTTTTGAGTTCTTCAGTCCTCACACTGGGGGACAAAAAGGGTTTTCTATTATTTACTTCAGTCCTTTTGGTCCCTGTAAGCTAACCCTTGGTTCTCACCCTTGCAGATATTCGTTTGAGGGTTCGAGCTGAATACTGCCAGCACGAGTCTGCGCTTCAGGGAAACGTGTTCTCCAACAAACAAGAGGCTGTTGAGCGACAGTTTGAACGCTTCAACCAGGCCAACACTATCCTCAAATCCAGAGACCTGGGCTCCATCATCTGTGACATCAAGTTCTCGGAGCTCACCTATTTGGATGCCTTCTGGAGAGACTACATCAACGGGTCGTTGCTAGAAGCCCTTAAAGGAGTCTTCATCACAGATTCCCTAAAACAAGCTGTTGGCCACGAGGCCATAAAACTGTTGGTCAACGTGGACGAGGAGGACTACCAGGCTGGTCGACGCAAACTGCTCTGTAACTTAGTCGCGGGCGGAGGAAGCCTACCAGGAGGAAACAAAGACTCGCTTTCTTAAACAAACTTTGGTGGGGGGGGCGCGGAGGGGGATTCTATATAAAGGAGAGCTACTGTTCCCCAGGTACAGAGGAATAAGTTGGACGTGATTTGAGGTGCCTGAAGTGTACGTCTGGGAGACTTCCAGTCACCTCATTGATTCATTCAGAGCTGAGTTTATAGGACTTCGCCTCAGCAACGATAAGCGTAGCATGCAAAGCGATTGAACCAAGCAAAAAGAATAAGGCAGTGCGTACTGGTCGGCCATACTGTGACTCCTCGTTCTTTACTTCCTTTGAGGAGAAGAAGTGTCGATCTCAAACGTTGACCAGTTCATTTCTGGGTTCTGGTATGCTAGCTCATCCAAACATATTTGTTAACACTTCACTCTTGTTCCAAAGTGTGAGTGGGTTCTTTTCAATCCAGAAAACATGCTTAAACGCTGATGAGTTTCTCCCAGTGGGAGATGATTTATTGTCAAACGTGGTTTGGTCTTTTTTCCAGGTTTTTTCAGGTACAGTACCGATTGCTCGGATTAAACGCGGTGAGAGAGACTGTTCTGTATGTTATATAAAGGTGCAGATCACAGTTGACTTAACACATCGTCTGTCTCTTTGTGTCAGTTTTCAGCCCAACTTTCTTTTTTGTAAAGATAGACCCCGTCAGAGCCTTTTTATGGCTCGTATTTGATCACTGTTGACATTTCTCCGTGTTGTTCTTTCATTTAGCAACTGCCACATGTCTTGTCACCAACAGCTGTTCTTGTGGCCCCATTTGATGTTTCAGTTATCCAATCACTGCCACTTCTTATCACTAGATATCCACCCATTGAAACACGAAGTCTGTCAAATGGAGTTTTGAATGCGTTTGTTTATTTATTCACTCCTGGAACACTCCTAACAAACCTGTCATTTTTGTCACCAACAGATACATGGAACGTCTCACTTCAGCAGCACAGTATGTCTTTACTAAATGTAAAAAAAAAAAAAAAGTGTATGTGTTTCTGCTCTTATAGGTTCTTCCAAGCCCTTTAGTCAGAATTTAAGTGGAACGATTTGGATAAATCCTGCTTTGGTTATAGGTCCTTACAGCAAACCAGTCTAAGCATCATTATAGAACCAAAGTTCCTAATCATCAATGGCAGGTACTGACGGACGCACACGTTCCTCACGGAGCTCTCCTTTGAATTTGTCTCTGGTAAAACATGTGACCCATCTCACTGCAGTCCATTCCCATGTTCTAAATGTTGCTAAATAGGTTCTCCTAGCAGGGTAACCTCACAGAGCCTCTGCACAACAACACCACAAACTTCACTTCACCTCAGAGTGCAGCAGCTGGTTTTACAACTGAAATGACCATGTTTCTGTAGACGCTTAGCATTTTTTTATTTGCAAATAAATAATTAAATTTAATGTAAATCAAAAGCTGTGAAGTCTAAGTATGACAGTGGTGGACGGATAATGACGACAATAATAATGTAAATTTTTAAATTCCCCAAAGTGTGTTTTTAAAATGAGGGGAAAAAAAAGAGTTGGGTACATTGAGTGGTCGATACTGGTTGTAAGTACATTTGTTTGGAAATGTTCAGCATTTAAAATATCAACATGCTACTATGTGACAAAACTGATTTAAAACAATTTGTTACCAATGTAGATTAGAGACTGGCGTTAGCAACAGATGATTGTCTCTAACGATAAGTTGTTGTTCTTTCTGTTGCAGTGTTCTCTCTGTGCAGAAAGCCTAAAAACCATTAGTAACAAATGTACTCAGTGAATAAAGTGTCACACACATCCTCACTTTCTTACATCCTCGTTTTTGTGTTCCGGCATCTGTCTTTTTGCATAATGCTTATAATTTTGCCTCTGATTTTAAATTATAATTACACACCTCTGTCACCATCATTGTTTGTTAGTTGAACTTAAAAATTGACAAGTTTTATTATAGTTTCATATTTCAAGTGTTTTTATTTACCAGATATTCCTACTGCCACAGAAGCCCTCTCTAATATTTGCTTTCATACCACCCATAAGCTCATGCAGATTCGACTGACAGGTTGCTGTCATTCTGACTTTGTGTGTGAACTCCATCCGGTTGACAGTATCTATTGGATTGGTTGGTGTGTTCTGTTGATTGTATGTTGTCAAACACAGACGTCTTTGCATGTCACCTGTTATAATTTACAGAAATCTCATTGAAATTCACAGTGCTAATATTTTGTAAATACGACCGGATGTCTGGATTTTTTCTTACTTCAGTTTTTGCATTTATTTGAGAAAACAAATGGCGAGAAGGACTGTTAATAAATAAAGTGGAAGGGTTTTGTTGAAGTTGTTAATCTGTACATGCAAATGTATAAATATATATTTTTATAGTGGTCTTCAAAGGCCTTTAATGTTTTGAAAGACATCTGTAAGTTAAAAAAAAGAGGTTTCCATGGGGAGAAGTTTGAAATTTGGCTACATCACAAGTTATTCTCTTGCAGCGATTAAACACGGAATCTCGACACATTACAGTAACCCTGGGCAGAGTGGATGTTTTCTGAGGTCGATTATAGGTTATGGGTGTGCAGGAAAACAAATATTTTTTTTTTTTACGAGAAAAAGAAAAGTGACAAACACCTACTTTCTGCCTCCGATGATTCTAGTGGTGATGACTAAGCTGGAACACCTGCACGGGAGAACAAGGTCAAAGACAAACAGACTGTGTCACAAGTGAACAAATTTTTTAATATGATCAAAAAACCCCACATGAAACAAGACTTATTTTAATCTGTGACTGGCAGGAACATTACAAAGCTGTGCCACCCCCTCCATTTAAAGTTTTCAGCTGCTCTCATTTTTGATTTATTGTCAAATTTCCAATAAACTATCATCATTTACTAAATTGTGATAACACTCTCCTGGGAAATATAAAAAATGAATTTATTTTAACATGTCTGTGTAGGTTCTTAGTCATCCAGGACATTTAATCCAAAAATACTTACATCGAGGGCAACTACTCTGTGCAGTTGCCCTCGATGTAACTATTTTTTGATTTATTTTTACCATATTCTCCAGGAGAAGATCACTGTAAAGATGGTGCCGTACTTCCTTTCCTGTACTGTAAACCTCACCTGTGTCAAAAAAGCTTGATTTTCTGCTGCTATAATTAGAAGAAGCTTCAATATTTATAGGGTTTCTGTAGTGAGGACAGGTGTTCAAGGATTTGTCCGCATCACTTTAAATGTATGTGTTTGAAATACAGCCAATGATGGTTCGGTGCAAATTATTTTAAATAAATACAAATTCTAGCTAATTAGCTATCTGTTCTCCAAATGTGACCTGTGGTTCAGGTTATAGTACGTGGTCAAGAAATGGATGTTGATAATTAGGGGCCTTCATGTCATGTCGTCTGCAATCAGTATATTTGCAGCTCACCTGTAAATCACACCTGGTGGTTCGCAGTTCATCCTTAGAAAATCTTCCAGCTCTGAGCCGCAGTGAGTACTTCTGGGTGTGACACTGGATCACTGCTGCTTCCTGTCCTGCTCCAGCACCTGCTCTGACAGCAGACTGTTCAGGCCAGTCTGCAGACTGTGGCTTGTAAGGACCAAAGACAGGGTCTTCCCTGCAGACAGGCCGCCTCCACTGCTGCTGCTGCGACTTTTATGCCAAATTCCAGGAGGCGCTACTACTCCACTGTCTGTCAACAGGCCAGAACAAACAGTAATGTCATACTCCTGCCATGTTGTGATTAAGTCATAAATGTTCTAAATGATCTGAGTGCAATTATACAATGCTCAGCTGTGCCAGCCCTAGTCCACACGGACCTAACTTTGGAGCAATCACTCTGATTGGTTGGTTCCTTCTAATCAAATTAGGCAACACATTTTTTCATAATAATAATAATAAAAACTATACTGATACTACTACTACTACTAATTATTATTTATATTATTATTGTTATTATTATTATTAGAGATGTTATTATTAGACATTATCAGTAGGTCTGTGCAGACCTGGAGAGAAACCAGAACTCTTACATTCACATTATATGATCTGAAAGTGTAGCATAAAGCTGTCATGTGATGTGACACAGACAAAGATACAACAGTCGGCTGTCAACACAAAGGGCTGAGCTGTTCATTATTCAAATTAAAGTCCTTCTCCTGGCTGCTTCCTCCTGGAAACCCCATGGTGTTTCATTTCCCTTCACTTCAGCTCAAACTTTGTGAAATTCTTTGTGAAGATCTCATCAAGTTTATTTTTTTTTTCACGACTGTTCTGACAAAATAAAAATTACAATACTTTTCTTTTGTGACTCAGCTCTTTCAACCAACAAGTGAAATGTTTAAAAATGGAAGGGATGGAAATTACTAGAACCAGTAGTGAAACCATCCTGATCTACAATCATCAGTGAATAATTCCTAACCACTGTGATGACTGTTATGATCAATAAGTCTATAGTTAACAAAACCAACAACCCAATTGGTAATTAAATCACATCTCAAACCAACATACAAACACAAAGCAAGGAATCGAACAGAAATGTGTTTTAACTAAACAAACAGCACAGCACCTGACCCACCTTGACAGGTAACCAGCAAACAGCTCAACTGAGCCATTTAAGGCCTTATGTACCACACCTGGGCAGGGGGTGGAGCTTAATGTTGGTTGCCATGCGACAGGGGGAGGAGTTAGCTCCTGCTAACCATGTTGCCTTTACAACCTTTTCAGATTCACTACATTTGCACTGCGCAAAATCAAAATGACATTCATCAGAGAAATTTTACATATATATCAGTCTGACAAAAATGTGAAGTAATCTTTGAGAAATGTTAGGGTTAAAAATGTAAATAGGTTTATGTCAAAATATCAATATTAAATACTACCATGTTTATGTACATTATAAATGATTAACTGTTTTATTATGTAACTAATTGCTTATTAATAAGTAACTTAGAAACCTAAGGAAAAAACATTTTATTTGTTTTATTTCTTTCAAATGTAATACAGTACAGCCATATGTAAAAAAAAGTTAAAAAAAAAGTTGACAGTACAGCCATATGTAAAAAAAAGTTGAAAAAAAAGTTGAAAAACTAAACATCAACACGATGGGTACAAGTTCAGCTGCACAGCACTCATGCCTCCTCTGGACAGTAGTATTGAGAGTAGGACGTGAGCCACTTCACCGGACAGTCCCTGCAAACACATCACATTAGAGTCTCACATTTACCTTAATCGTTCAGTAGGTTAGGAAGTTCAGTAAGCTACATATTTATTTCCCTCTCTGCGTCTTCCTGCCTTCTTGGTTTATTTCATTTTTTCCTCCTTGTTTGATCTGCTTTCATAGCTGATAAAAACGACCGTACATGTGAATTAAATCCTGATCCCAGTTTGATTTTACCTGTGATATTTTTGTCCCTTCCTCCTCTGATACTCCGTCTCATCCACGGTCCACACCGCTCCCTTTCCCCCCTCCACTCGTACAAAACACTTGTGCAGGCTGAGGTTGTGACGAACTGCATTCTGGGAAAGACGGAAGGGTTCTTGTTATACACCTGTGTGATTATACTATTAATTTATTAATTTAATTTAACTTTTAATTTTGGGCGGTGAATACAGCTCTGGATGTATATCTGTAATAATGCTGTGATTTGTTTAATATCAAACCTTCCAGGTGGCAGTGTTGTGCCTGAAGTAGCAGAACATCGTTGTAAACCAGTTGTAAATCTCATTAAGGGTCCGTTGTTTATCTGGAGACTCCACGATTGACTGAAAGACAGAATCAGGTCTTGTTCTATTAACTGAAGCCTTCACAATTCCCGCCTAAAATATCAATTTAGGTACTTTAGATTGGAGATTCCCATGTTATTATTTATTTACTGCAAATTATTTTTCTTTGTTCATTTATGCGACAGTGACGGGCAGAACAATTAAAATACTTTTCCACTTGGTGGCGGCAGATAGCTATAAAAAAAAAAAAGAAAAAAGAGCGAGCCTCAGAGAACAGTTTCAGAGAAGAGTTTGTGTCTTTGCAGTATATTTGCATGGGTTTAATACGTAAATTGTGTTTGAAATAAAAAGATCATTATATTTCTATAAATATGCTTTTGTGATAATTTTGACCACTTTTTAAAGCACAGTCTAAGTTGTGGGCTTCAATAAGCCACAGGACGGTCAAGGCTCGTGGAGGCATGTGGGTAGAAGAGTGGACCAGCCTCTGTTGTGTATTTTTGCCAAATGAAGCAGTAAAATAAAAAAAGAGAAAACCTCACCCGTCGTATCAAGTAGGCGTAGGTGTATGGAGGCCTGATGTTTTTGTACTTGTAAAATTCAATACTTGGAATCACATCTGCAATTGCACCAGAGAAAGAGAGACATAAAATCAGTGATCAAACCACCAACTTTGATGCACATCATTTATATATCTGTTTTGAAAAAGCTTCCAGAGTGTTCTACCTGTCAGGAGGCTGGCAGAAGCAGCAGGAGCTCTGGAGCTGTGCTGAGAGAACTCCTCCAGCTGTTTAATCCACCACTGTTGTGCTTGGTCTCCGTCCCCCACCTGAGGCCGAGGCGAGAACAGGGGGAGGCTGTACGGCCAATCAGAAGCCGCCTTCTGTGTGATTGAGTTAAAACGCAGCAGATAATCATCTCTCTGTGTTGGTGTATGGAAACAGTGAGTATTGATTTCACAGTGTCATAGTCCTGACGTCCACTGAAGTGAGTGAGACAGAAACTACCTTTACCAGTGATCTATTTCAGTAGTAAATACAGAGAAAAGAAGCAGCTTTAGAACCCACTCACCAGATCAGTGTACTTGTGTTCAGTGAGGTGTAGATAAAGCTGCATTGCAACCAGTTTCTGTTTTTCCAGAATCAGCTGAAAATTAGATTAAAATGTGCCTTAGTTTGGCTTCAATGCATAATCACACAACAGTGTGTGTCTCCCTGCAGCCTACCTGACTCTCCATGCACTGGACGATGTCCTGCTGGACCCTCCACTGGGCAAGACTTCTGTCACAGTGACTGTGTTCAGAATGGAGATGCCTGCAGGATGACACCACACGACATTTTTACGACACATTTTCTTAAAAACTTCAGTGTTTCTCAGTGGATTTATGAGTCTACTTACTTTAGGAAACTTGCATCATCTTTAAACACTGCATTACAGCCAGGCCAGCGGCAGAAGCCACTTGCGAATGGATCTCTGGATCCTTCAGTGACACTTCACAGGACACAAGACATTAGTAGTGACATAGCCGTCCAACTTAAAGTGAAACATCTGTTTTTACAGTAGGTGCTGTGAAAGTAGAGAATGTACCCATCATGGAGTCTGGCCTCAATGGAACTCTGATTTGGACCATCTGGCATCAGGGGGATTATGTGATGGCTTGGCCTGTAAAAAGAGGCCATCTGTAGAGAAGAGGTCGGGGAAGGATGACCTGTGTCCTCTCCTTTATCACAAATGGCCACACCTGCATTACACACACAGAGAGATAAGGAAAAGACCTGGAATATTTAAACAAGTTCATCTTCAGGAGTGAAGAACAAAAAACAAACAAAAAAAAACCAAAACAACCAACCAACCAAACCTCCAGATACCTACTAACTAAGAAACCAACTAAACAAATAGTACACCTACCAAACCAACTGACCGACCAGTCTTCATCCTGTAGGGACGTCCACAGTCCCATTAAGAACTACAATTCCCATAACGCCGTAGCTTCCAGAAATCCACACACATCACCACCAGTGACCTCTGCAACCCTTTAATTTGGGGATTCAGCCCCAATATCATTCTCAAACCACCTGATCTACCAACGAGTCAGTCAGCTCAACATCCAACAGACCATTAGTAATAATAATAATAATAATAAACTTTAATGATCCCATATTTGGGAAATTCCTGTGTTAACAGCAGATCTGCCGTGGCAGGTGCAGAGCATGTGGTTCCTCTGGGAATTGAACCCAGGTCTCCATGCTCTCTGAGGTGTGCTAACCACTACACCATGGAATAGCTTTGTATCTCTTCTCCTGTTAACTAGCTACCGTCCAACCTACCTCCCAGTCTACCTGCCTAACAATCTGTCTCTTTTTTCTAATCTTTTTTTTTAAATCCTATTTTGTGTTGACAGTAATTTAGTGACAAACTCAAGTTTGATCAAAGATTAAAACGATGTGAAACGACACGGTGGGTCAGGGCGTGCAGACCTACCGTGTTGATGTCTGGAGGCTGATGGGACGACTTTACGCAGCACTGACGGTCTCTGCTGCTTCGGTCTGCCGTCCATACTGATCCACTGGACAGAAATGGACATACGACAACGTTAGTGACAAAAAAAAATCTCTTTAATTACACGAACACACTCAGTCAAACTGAGGACTACTTTAGATGATGATGATAAGGATCTTCACACATGTATGTGACGAGGATTGTAAAAGGACAAAAAGTAGATCATCTCACTGGCTAGATTGTATGTGTGTGTGTCTTCTATAGGAGACATGTGTCTCTCATTGCAGGTCTCTATGTGTCACGAAAAAGTTTTTTGGAAAAAGTTTGAGTGTAGACGGTTTATGAACTATCTCATCTGTGAATGTGTGAGAGGCAGAGGCTCCGCGCTGCTGTTAATGCTCTTTGACCCAGTAAGTCAACACAGCCAGCTACGTCGTGTTTGTTCCAACGGAGCTGTGTGGTTGTTGTCAACTGAGTCACACCTGACTTCCTGAGGCAGGAGGGGATTCGACATCCCTGGGCCGAGGGGAAGGTGGAGAAGGAAGAGGAGGAGGAGGAGAAGGAGAAGGAGACGACTCCCCAGGACTCCAGTCCTGAGGAGGTTTCACCTGTGCCTTACTGTCACTGGACGTCCCTGGCATCTCTGCAGCGACGACAGACACTTTAGTTAGAGGCTGTAAACACCTGATTAAAGGACAACTTCAGTTCGTGGACGACACATCAGACCAAACCAATACAGACGCTTGATTTACACAGTCTGCGCACACAGAGTGACACAGTAAAGTCAGATTCCATCATGTGCCGTCATTACACTTCAGCATTCAGTGCAGAAATTCTTGCACTTGAGTCTTCAAAACATTAAATGTTGAGCTTTTCCTGTTCCAAACCCCGTAGAAATGCTGTGGTTGTTCACAACAGGTGCAGCCACACGGTGTCACGCACACGCGTACACACATGAACTGTGCACTACGTGATGAAAGGCTGCAGCTACTTGTGTTTGTAGAAGATGCCTGCAGATGAACCATCTTTCCTGGATACTTCTTTCACTTTTAATCACTTACTGGAAAGTAGACAAGTACACACACAAAGAAATGTCCTAAATGGGTGAAAGATAACCGGAAAAACAACCTGATTTACTTACAGTACTCCCACAGGCAGGCCTGCTGTGAGCCTCAGAAAACAGTGTTTCCAGCAGGAAATATTCACTTTTGAACCTTCTGTTTAAGATGGTTTTTAGGTTAAAGGTGATTCTCCAAAACACAAATTCACACAGAATGTTTTTTGTTAGCGTGCGGTCAAGTTTAGTATGTTTCAGTCATTTTGGTAAATTTGAACAAAGACTTTTAAACACAGCAGTTAATAAAAGATTAAAAAAAAATGGATTGATTACCTGAATATATTTACTGAACATTTTCTTACGCAGAGCAGAATGAATAGTCGAATGATGTGGGAAAAGGTGGGACAGTGACTTGATCAGGGTGTGACTGAGTCTGAGACTTGAAACAACCAGCACAGGTGGTAAATAATCATACATTATAATACATTCACTTAAGAAGAATTAAAATAGTCGGGTGACTGGCAGCTAGGCTTTATGTCGAGAGAGATTCATGTGAAGTGCATGGGTTGTGTTCTATCTCACATCACATCAGAGGGAAGCATGCATCAAAGTAAACAGCCACAAAAACATTTGTGTTCAGCAAATGCACACCCACAGACAGGGCTGGCAAAGAAAGTGAGAGGCTCCCGTGTGGCTTCCCACCGTGGTCTCTCTCTCTCTCTCTCTCTCACATTTTAGTCAAAAGAGATTTTCCACATTCAAAGCGTCGAGAGTGTGTTTAACTGAGCTTTGGTCACGACACTGATCAGACGGAGTGAGTGAATGTTACGCTCGATATTTGGTATTTTTCTGAGTCAACGCTTTTCAGTCAAGAAACTGGTTTTAAAAAAGTATTTCCTGTTTGGGAATCGTAATCAGCCACAATACAGTTGGGAAACTTGAAGACGCCTCGTATAATTATTAGTGTGTGTGTGTGTGTGTGTGTGTTTATTCACTGACTGTCACATGTCATAACACACTTCCACAACTTGTTATTCAGTGTGAGAGTGTGAAATTACTAAGAGGTTATAGTTTGTGTGTGTGTGTGTGTGTTGGATTAAACATTTACAAAAGGAAATGTAAATAATCAGAAATAGGAGCTCAAACTATTGGAGATCTAACTAATGTTTTTTTTTTTAGTGCTAGAAAAAAGACGAAATAATGTCTAGCACTGACTTTAAAAAACACACAGCTTGAAGGTAGACAAATAATAGTTAAAGTTCACAAACAACTAAGGTGCAAATAAATGGTTTCCTAGGAAATAACAATTACTAGTCACAACTGTGAAAAGAAACTGAAAAAGATTTGCTGAACTCCGTTCAGTTGTTTTCCTCAGTTGTGTTGAAGTGAAAGGTGAACACTAGGACTGCTCTGTCTTTCTGTCAACACATCTGTCATTTCCTGATACCTGGCTGCTTGTGTGAAGATGCATAATTTTTTACAAAAAACAAACCTTTTTTCTTTTTTTTTTCTCTGCAGGAGGATGTGAGGGAGCATCAAGGACCAAATTTTTTTTATTAAACAAATGACATTTCGGGGCGTTTGAGTCATCCGTAAAAATAGAAGCTGTGTCTCCCTCTGTCTGTGTGAGTGTAATACAGAGTCAAAGAACATTTTCCATTTCACTTATAGATTTTTGCTCTCGGTTAAACAAAACCTCACATCACACTTCCTCCCTGTCTTTATTTTACAGCGCTGAGGGCTCGTACGGCTTAGACTTTTCCACGAATGAGCTTGAAATTAAATGATGTGCTTATCAATAAATGTCCAAAAAAGACAAACAGCCATGAAGGTGAAACTGATGACCTGATTTGATATGGTGATAATCACAGAAGTGTTGTGTTTCTGTGGAACCTGGAGCTGATGAAGAACCAATGAAGAAGAACCACCAGAACCCTGAAATCCAAGTTCACCTGCATCACCAGTAAGAACCAGTTCAGACTGGAGCTGGAGTCCAGTGTGACACATGCCGCTGTGGCTATGAGACATTTTCTAAATGTCACACAGCAACGACAAATTATATCAATTATATAATGAACATTTTCATATGTTTATGTTACAAAGGCTCTTTATCATTTCTGACATTTTAAACACATTTTTATCAAACAATAAACAGAGGCATACTTGGTGTTGGGTCACAGTGATTGGAGAATGAGCACCACATCAGATTATTTTCTTCAAGAAGTCATGTTTGTAGTTGTTTCTCAAAGATGTCCCCTTTGAAGGCTGCTACACCTTCAGTCATAATGTTTTCAATGTCCTAATGTGATGTCATGTGATGTTCAAGATAGAACAAAGTATCGCTCCACAATATGTGTGTGAGTCGTCTATGTATAATTACAGCTTACATCAAGTTTTTGTATCGTTGTAAAGTTGCGTCTCTTCATTAATTTCTGCCTTTACTAATGTATTTTACGTCAAATAATAAATGTATATCAACGCCCTCTGAATATTTTACTATAAAAGTGACAGAGGTGACATGTTCTGACTCTACACGTTGAAAAAGATTAGTGTAAAGAATCTCTTTGGCAGTTTAGTTACACGAGAGTTGACCAACTTCAGACAAAAGTGAGGTTTTCACATGTCAAAACAGTGAAGAAAATAATGAAGGAATAGCCCTTTAATACCATTGAACTAGTGAATAACAAAAACTAAAGGTTAAGAAATACAGAATTAGCTAAAAATGATCATAAATAAGAACATCTGGAATTTGTGTCAGACACAGGGTGGACGATGAGAAAGCTTAGGTCTAACTATGTACGAAAATGACTTCCAGTGAAAAGGCAGAGGCCACCAAATCTTAGATAATAGTCAAATAGTATAAACCATGGCGGTTCAAGGAGACAAAGAAAAGAGATCAATAGTTTGGAAAAACTTAATATTGACCTAAAATAGAGCAAAATGTAATTGTTTTTATAAAGTGAAGTCATTAGGAAAATACAAGCACAAAACAAAGTTGCGGATCTAGCTGTATAAGCTTTATAAAAACCTGAGTTTGGCTTGACTTTGAAGCTGTTTAATCAAGAAAAATGTTAAAACATGAATGCATCATAATCTTCAAGGTCACAACTGTCATTGTAAATCAGTGCAATTCCTGTATCAGTGAGTAATTAATGTCATTTACTACTGACATTTGTAGTTGTACTGAAGCGGAGAAGATGAGGTAAACGATCGTGAAGCATCAACCAGATGATATTTTCTTTCTAGTCACTTCTTCCTAGCGACAGGCGATAACCATGCTCCGCACACACCTTCTCTCACTGGCTGTGAGAAAATCACTTTGCCGATTCCATTTTTGTTGTAATTTTGAATAGAAACAGTAAGATTCGCTCTTACCGTCTGTCGAGCGTCAACCTTCAACCTTGGCTCTCGTCTTCCTTCTCTCAGTTTCCTGGAGGGAGAAGCACTGAAAAGATTCAGAGGGGGGAGTTATACCACAGGAAATATATAAAAACAAATGAATTAATGAGTTGGAGAAAGAAACCAGAGGAAAAGAGTTATTCACCGAAACGGCTGGAAATTTTAACTATCTTATTTTTATGCAATCCTGAAAACATGAAAACATCTGTAAATCCATGCATGGCAGACACGTTATTGATAAATGGGCCAAAGATCCAAAACTCCAGGGAATTTAAACCACGTGGAACCATTTGACGTGCTGTCTTTTCTTAAGGGAGATTATAGTTTGTAGCTTTTTCTCTATTTTTCTTTAAAAATATATACAATTCGGACTCTATTTTTGACTTTTCTTTGAGTCTAAATTTTAAGATTTAAATGTAGGAAATCTAAAATAAACTCAGAATTAGAGTAGGAGTTAAAAAAAATCAGAATTTAATGATAAGCCAGACTTTTGATCTTAGAATTTTCTTCTTTTAACATAAGATTTTTAGCTAAAATTATAGCATAAAAAATTATTTAAAAAAAACAACGTGATGTTAGAATCCTTATTTAATTCCAAGATTAAAAATGGGAATTCAGACAATAATAAGGCTAAAAATTGTAATAATTGTATTTGATAGTAACAAATCAAATTCTTACATTTGATAGAGAGTAATTCTAAAAACTCAGAAGACATTGATGCAAATGGTGGTGTGTGTATAAATTCAGCTTCACAATCGAAACCGTGAAAACGTGGTATTAAAACAATTACTAAATAATTACATAATTAATTAATTTGTAAATAATGCAAATAAATTAAAAAATAATGAAATACATTATCTCATTATACAGCTTTAATAAATGTTTAATTAATGAATATTGGCAGAAACATCAACTTACCTCGTGGTAGTGTCAGAGGAGCAGGACTCACAGTAAGATATAAGTAAGTCAGATATCCACTCAGTATTTAAAGGCACAAACAGGAAACACAGCCTGTTTTTAAGCCTGTGTCCTCAGCAAATCACAAAACAAGAAACCGTCACAAAACGTACCAGAACAAACAACGTGACGGGACTTCACGAAAAACAAGGTGTTGGTTGGAAAACTTTACTTCATGTGATGCCAAAAGGAACAGACTGTTCTGACACAGATGCGGGACAAACAAAACTTTCACCGTTTCACCATGGTGTGTTGCCAAATTCATACTTAGACCAAGACCACGTACTGACCGACGCTGATATTACAGTTTTTGAGGAGAGTCCACAAGTCATGTACAAGCAAGTACAAAATACTTTCAATGTATTTTCATTTGAAGCAACAAATTTAAAACACCTGAACACACAAAACAATTGTCTATTCTTAGAAGCAAAATAATCTTAGCAAGATATCAAAAATGTTTTTAAATATCAAGACATGGTTTTAAGAAAGAGCGTCCACCATTTCCAAGAACAACATTGCCAAACCACTAATATTATATAGTTATGTTCCACAAGAACATCTAAAAGTTAGCCCAGATATAGCTTGAAGTTAGCTTTAACAGGTAGTTTGAAGTCCACAAATGGGTTAAACATAATTTTAGGTCTAAATAGTCCATTAGTCATTCACTCTCACGACAGAGAAGAGTTTTCACTTCATCAAAGCACCTTGTGCTGAAAATTCCATCTCAATACTGAACAGGTGAGGGTTTAAAATCCAGGTCAGACGGCTGGCTTCAGACTAGCCTCACCGAGACTAGGACAGTGAGTAATAGTGAAAGTCTGTAAATCGGTCAATATTGCTGATGAAAAGAGCTTCAGCGATGATTTGAGAACAGCTGCCGTCGTGTACTGTGAGCCACCGTCCAGACAGTAACGACTAAAATCCACCAACACAACCGAGCTAAATTGTCAACTTATACTTCAGGTATTTCTCTCAACATTTTTCCATATTATTAACTCACTTGTTTTGTTTGGTTAGTTTGGTTAGTTAATAGTGACAAAAAAAAGTTTTTTATTAAACATTAAATCTTGAAATGATTTCATCTTAAACAAAAATGGACAACAAGGCAGATGTTTGGTGTGAGGCTGTCGTATCGCGGTCATTTTAGGAGGATTATTACGGTGTGATATAAATATCGTAAAAAAGTATGTTGTCGCACTGACATTAAACAAGTATTATAAATAAAATAAAAACAGTCACAGCTCATCTGCAAATTGAATGACGTGATGTGTCTTTTTAAACCAGTGTCTGGCAGAGGGTCGTCCTCCAACTCTTCTTCATCTAAACTGACAGCAGTCAGTAAACTGTAGCCCATAAACAGCACAACAAGCCTGTAAACAAATATACTACAGAAACGCATCGTGGATTGTAAGGAACGTTATCGACAAGCCAGTTCGTTGGTCCAATGGTACGTTTTTTGTAAGTAGGCTGAGGTTTTAGCCTCAGCTTATGATGCTAACAGCCACCGCCATTTCATTGTCCAACAGAAACTCAACCACCTCATTGTGGCTTTTCATTCACATCATTCACTCTTGTTTTTATGTGGCCTTACTCGGTTTAACGTGGAGCCTGTCATTGCTGTGGTATTTTCTCCAGCCAACTGTTCTTTCCGGAAGCCTCTGGTTTGAAGAAAAAAACAAAACAAAACAAAGAGAATGAGGCACAAGGGCCGAGTTGTTGCTTCTGAACACTAGTGTAATAACTGATACAATTATTTTATAATTGTTTGCTTTTATTACTTCCGGTAAAATATGGTAGATCCTAATGTTAAGTTAAATATAAATATTGTTTAAACTTGAAAGTTGAAGTGCTAGCATTAGCATTAGCTCACAATTGACCAACTCACAGGAACAAGAATTTGTAGACGATCGCTGAGTTTGAGTTGTGAAAAACTGTTACACACACAAAGAGGTGTGGACGGGAAAGAGCCGACTCCCATGTCGAGAGAAGAGTCAAGGCGAGTTCAGTTCTCGTGTGAATATGACCGGTGTGAGAAAATGATGAGTGGACTCACTGACACAGCGAAAGTAGTAAAAAAGGTGAGAATTCTGTTGCAAACCTGGGTCTGGAAGGTGTGTTCAGTAAATGATGTTGGTTTTTACCAAGTGAG